GAGGGTCCGTAAGATCTGCCTCCACTTGGTAACCCTTTTCCACTTTGATCCATGGACATCTACGTTTGGAGGAAAAGGTAAGGGGGGGGTTAAAATATGAATGTGAGGAGAAGGAAGGTTTGTTTTACGAATCTGTTGAGAAGGGATCATGAGAGAGGAGGGTTGACGGAGAAAGGTATGCAGAGAAGGGAGGTGACACAAACGCCCAGGAGCCGGACACCGTGTGCAAAGCCGTGCTAAGGAACAAGAGCTCTGCCGGTTCATTCGGAGGAAGAGGCCACGCTAGGGCAGATTCCGGGGACCCCCATATGCTGCCATTTTGAAATCCACGTTGTCCACATATTGTGACCCACCCCTGTCACCTCCTTCAACCACCCACACTAGCAGGACTTTCTCTTCCGGACAATTAAAAAACACGTAGTGTAAATTTTACTTTCCTGTTTGTAATAATGATTATATTAGCTAATATTTTGGTGCCTGGGTTTGCATCCTGGCTAGCTCTGTCTTCAGTGCTTCAGTATATGATTTTACTTAACCCTCACAACCACTCAGGGAGGCAAATACTACGATTAGCCAGAAACTGAGGAGTAAGTGAGGTTTCATGGGGGCTGGGGGGACTTCAGCACCAGGATGCTGGCAACCAACGCCACTCAACGTGGCTGGGGCTAGCAGAAAGACGGAAGTGGAAGGGAGTGCAGGCATCCCCCCTAGTGACAAGCTTCTGCTCCTAGTCTTCCATACCCCACAGATGAGGACACTGCGACAAAAGGGACATGACTGAGGCCCCTCCTCCTGAAGGCAGAGCCCGTGACCCTCCCCCACCACAGTCTCTGCGTCTGAGTCACCACACCTCAGGCGTGGAGCTGGACTCGAACCTGTCCTCAGACAGTCCGTCACCGCTCCCTGCTCCCCTACAGCACGAAGCTGCCAGCACCTCTGGTTCTGTTTGATTTTCAAGCAAAAAAAAAAAAAAAAAAAGTACTAAGAAGCTACCACTTCCTAAGGACTTACTATATGCCAGGCTCAATCAATCCTCATGCCATCCCTATGCGGCAAGTGCTATCATTATCCTCACTTGAGAGATGAAAGGATTGGCCCAGGGAACTAAATTCTTTGCCCAGAGTCATGTCGTGAATGAGTAGCAAGTTCTTAAGTCACTAGGCTGCCTCCGAAAAATAAAGTGCATTTTTATTAATAGCATCGAGTCTACCTTTTCTTCTTTATGTTCACCGTATTCCTTTCTCCCCAACGATGCTGGTACACATGATATACATTTCACCAACTCCGTGTCTGCCACCCTGCCCTGCAACTGGAGGTTAAAGACGATTCAAAAGCAGGACTGACGCACAGCCAGCTGTCTGTGGAGCTAGACGGTCCACATGCCTGGACCATCTCTCCACCTAGGGCCCTACATTCTTCTATTGACCTAACAGCCCGTGCAATCAATGCCCTACCAAAAGAAGAGTCTTCCAGTTCCTCCCCACTCCCAGCTTGAAAACATCCCCATCTATTAAGGTCTAGCAGCCACCAACAGCACCCAGATCCCTCTGGGATAAGCAGTGATGCATGAGTTTGCCTGCATAGACCTGAGAGCATCATAATTCAAGAAATGCAGAGAGTTAAGCTGTGCAAGATCCTCAGATAATTGAAACTGACCCGTAACTCACACCAGCTACCATGGGAAATTCTATCGCTTTGCACGCTTCGCTTCCATCGCTAGAAATCAAATGTCAGATTAGGATCGGATGTCTAATTTGGAACCTCGGACATGCAGTGTCATCTTTAATGACTCCTGGCAAAAGATGCTCATTCTAGATCTCAGCTCATCTAAATTAAAACAGGAAACCTAAAAATTAGGCATAAAATTCTCAATTTCTCAGGTCCGTAAGACCACAGAGAAGCCACGCAAGTGGGAATAGGCACACTCCTTAGGGCCTTGTTATGCCTGCAAATATTTAGGCAGAAATTATACGAAAGAGAAGAACTAGGGGAGAAACAAAATAAACAAATCCATCAGGTCCTAAGTTTCAGGTTTGAGCCATCTGTGTTAATAGCAATTTTTCATGGTCAATTTGAGCTATCATGTCGAGGAATATTCTCTCTCTGGTGATGGCCAATCTCATCTGTTCTATGATGTCGAGCTCAGATGCCTGATACAGCAGGCTGCTGGCTCCCAGCCTTTGCTCAGTGCTAAGTGGGCTCAAAGATGGTACAATCCGTCAGCACAAGCACGTAGGCGCCTTTCAAACGGGGTAGGCTGAAAATTCACGTCTCATCATTAATTCTGAAACCCATCCCGTATGGATTTTCTGGAAGTTCAGGTAACCATCAAACAATCTCTAGATACTGTTTTTTAAATCTCTTCCCTCCACGTCCCATCCACCCTGCCCTTTGTGTCACCATGTGAATGGCTGTCACGGCCAGCAGAGGAGCATGTGTCGCCAGCTCTCACATCTGCTCACGACTAAATGCTTCTGAGACCTAAGTCCAGGAAGAAGGAGCCATTCCCTGTCCGCAGCAACATCTCAATAGATGCTCCAGAAAAACTCAAAAGTTAACGGTTAGTAGAAATTACAAATTCAAACCCCTTTTTTTACCCCCTTCACCAGCATTCTTAAAGAGGAAAGTTCAGAGCATGGGGATTAGAGCCAGTGTCAGGGTATACTGCCAGATACTGGCCAAGAAATATGCTAAGCCTCCTCATCCTCAGCATGAAGGAGCATCTGAAAACAGTGCAAAACACTCAGCTGTCATTTTTATTCTTTTTTCCATTAGAAACCACCTCTGAGCCCTATCTTGTATACTGTAGCTCAGAGAGAGTTAATCTCCACTCCTAAATTCACACTACTAAACACAGAATGGCCATTGTGCACAAAGACTCCAGGGTTTCTAAGTGTAACTGGCAACCTGGAAACCCCTTTAAGAAACTTAAAAAGGGGATGCAAATGTGGAAGGGAGACCTACACCCAAGGCATGCTGAAGCAGCTGACATAGGAGGTTAGGTCACTCCAATAATATTATTATTAATATTTCATCACATGCCCTCAGAAACACCTCTTTTTAGAACCACATCACCCCAAGAGGCCACCCCAGAGCTTCCTCCTCGGAGTAGCTTTTCAGGATTCCTCTCTTACCTACATTTGCCCTAAAACTTTAACTGAGAGGGAGGAGAAACTGTTTCAACAGCCTGGGGTTTAAATGACTTGAGTCTAATTCTGATTAAGAAAATAACAAAGGTCTTCCCAGACATGGTCTCTCCACCCTCTGTGGTTTATACAGAACTGAGGGTCTTTCTTGGACTGAAAATCAATTAATCAAATAAAATAAATGACAATAAGAAACATAGTCAACTGTCTAAACTGTTGTGACAATTGATAGATTGGTATTTGGGGACAAGGAGCCAGGAGCTGGCGTGCCTGCCCGGAAGTCATGGGTTTTTTTTATTATGCCAGCCAGTGCTGGAGAAGCCTTTTAGGAGAACGTACTTCCCAAGAGATGCATTAGCACAAGCACTCACACTGAGGACGCACGCTGAGCTCGCCCCTGACACCTGTGACATGCCCCCACCTCATGCTGGGCCCCAACCCACTGATTTAGTAAATTCCTTTTATGAGTAGGTCAAAAGCTAACAGAGTATGCCAATCAGGCTTACCCTTCGTATAAAAACACACTCCCCCTGGCCTTCAAGTTAGAGAGGTCCCCTCTGTCAACATTCCCCAATCTTGCCATGGAAACAGGGCAACCTGTGGTCTTTGATGCAGTAATTAAGGACAAATCAAAGCAATTATTTGACATTCCTTGCAATAACCATACGGAATTTCTAACCCTAAGCAGCAAACTGGACCAAACATAAAATATGTTTTTAAAGGGGCTTAGATAAATTCAGCATCTGTAATTAGTTAGCCTGTTAGACCAGGACGCGGAGTGCTACCGGCCTGTTTCAGTAACAATATTACGTAAGACAGTAGGTATTCACTGAGCTCCTCCCCTACCTGCGTCTTCAGGTTTCTGCCTACAGAGATGAAATAAAAGCATGAACGAGCCACATGAACGAACCAGTGTGGCAACTCTTAACAGGGCCAGAACTAGGGCGAGGCACACAGGGTACCTAGAGAGCAAAGTTTAGGCAGGCACTGAGTCCCACGGCAGTGACAGTGCCAACCCTGAGGCTCTCACGTGCGGTTTGCAACAGCAATTCTGTCACATGTTACACCCTGGAAGGGCTAAGAAAAACACAGCAGCAAGCAAGTGCATCTGGAAAACATCAATCAGAAATGGCAGGGGGCTAAGGGAACAAAGATTCCAGACTAACCACAAGTTTATGGGGAAAAAAAAAATCAAGAGGAGGAAGAAAATTCAGAAAAAAGCATCCGTCTATCCATGTCCACTGAGTATAGGAATAATGTGAGGTTTAAAGCTAACATTTGTAAATATTTACTATGTGCCAGCTGCTCTAAATCCATTAGGTGACTTAATCTTCAAAACAACTTTTGGAGATGGGTATTACCATTACTATTATTGTGACTGTTTAAAAGGTAAGAAAACAAACGTAGAAAAATTTAGTAAATTGACCCAGATCTGAGAACCAGTGAACAGCAACACTGGTCTATGCTATTATTCTGAGTCTTATTTTTCTTAACCAACAGTCCCCACTTATACAGGTGTCATTTTCAAGAAAAAGGGAAATCAATAAAATAATCAATATATAGTGGCAATATCCCGAGTTGGCAAGAAACCACTTCAAACATAACTGTTTGTGTATCGATACACAGACTTAGAAACATTCTGATCTCACCCATGTAGCCCTATAATAATTGAGGCAGGTCCAGAAAGCACGGATTGTCATTTTGTTGTCGTCAGATGAAGAAATCAAAAGTGTCAACTGTGGCCTGAGTGAGGGGACAAGGGGAGGACAGTGGCCTGAACTCTTCAAAGAGGGCCCAGCCATGGCTCCTCCCACCGGACGCCCCTGAAGGATGTCAACAAACCAGGCGACTGACCTCCACATCCCCGTGAAACTGAACATGGTGCTCACGCAGCGGGGGAGGGGCGGCGGCTTCAGTCCGTCCAGGCGCATGAGCAGGGCCGGGACCCCGAAGAGCACCAGGTACTTGACGTAGAAAAAGAGCACCTGTGCCAACGCCAGTCCTCCTGAAAGGCAAAGGGGCCAGACACACAGATGAGAGGCAGAGCAGTCTCCTGGGAGAGAGCATCCCCCCCCCAGGAGCTATGCCACCTGCCCGCCCCCCTCCACCTACCCCTTCTTCCCTTCAACTCAGACATTTTAACACATGAACTGCCATGTGAGTTGTATTTAACTCACACTAGTTTTGAGCCTGGGGCCTTGTGAATCAGATGTAACTCACACGTCTCTTCACTATGGGAGCTGCATGAACTATTTTTCAAGCTGCTATATATAATTCACACACAGAAAATAAAAAACAACACATTTTTCATTAAGCGAGAAAGGATCGATTTGTTTCTGAACTTTTTATTCTGTTTTCATAATAAAACACCATGGCCCCAATGAAAATTTTTATTTTCTAGTGTGGCAGTCAATGTGTTAAAAAAGTATCCCACGTTGGTTTTATTCAGTGAAATTTGAGGATCAAGAAATATTAACATCTCATTATTGTGACAGGCAAGTTAGCAGTCTTCAACTGCCCTCTTAGCTAGTCATGCTTTTACAGAGACTAGGAAAGGGAATGCCCCAAAAACATACACTGCATTTAAAAAAATTTAGAAAAGGAAAATCCTTCCCAAATCCTTTCACAACCCACGTGAGTTCACATCCACTAGGCTAGCTAGAATCAGAAAGTCAGGACAGGAAGTGTTTGGTGAAGATGCGGAGAAACTGGGACCATCATACACAGCTGCTGAGAATGCAAAAGTGGAGAACAGTTTGGAAAACAGCCTGCTAGCTCCTCAAACGATTCAACAGAGTCACCATGTGACTCAGCAACTCCACTCCCAGCTATACAACCAAGAGAAATCAAAACATGTTCACACAAAAACTTGTACCCTACTGTTTCATAGCAGATTATTCACAATGGCCAAAAGGTATAAACAACTTAAATGTCCATCAACAAATGACTGGACAAATAAATTGTAGTATATGCAGACAATGGAATATTACTAAGCCATGAAAAGGATTGAAGTACCAACACATGCTACAATGTGGATGAACCTTGAAAACATTAGGCTGAGCGAAACCAGCCTGTCACTAAAGACCACATATGACTCCATTCATATAAAGCCCAGAGTAGGGAACTCTACAGAAAGTAGATTACTGGTTACTTGGGGAGGGAGAACAGCTAAAAAGTATGGATTCTTTTCAAGGTGATAAAAGTATTCTGAATTTGGTGGTGACAATAGATGAATCATATGCGAATGCACTAAAAGCCTCTGAATCATACACTTTAAATGAGTGGACTGTACAATATGCGATCTACATCCCAAGAAATCTATTTTTAAAAACTGCCTCTCTGAGGGCGCCATCTATAGCAGCCCCTTGGCCCGAGTCACATCTTGCCACAGCAGGAGGAACTCAGGACGTGGGTGTTGGGTCTGATGCTGGGACTAAGATAAGCGCTATGGCCCCTGCAGGTCTCCGCCTGTCCCCTCTGGGAGTGACCCACTTCCCCAGCTGAGACTCAAGATGCTCTACCGACTCCCACCTTCCTTGGGCTTCTTCTGGTACAGGGTCACCAATGACAGCCTCGCACTTCATAATGTGTGGCCAATTCCACCTCTTTGCCCTGGGAGGTGGGACGGGAGGGCCCAGGGTCCATGCCGAGGGGGCACCATAGACCTGGCCTCAGCAGTAGGGGAGGGGGTGGGTCACCAGAGCAGTGCCCATGAGCAGAAGGCTAAAGGCAAAGCACAGGAGGAATCCCAGGAGGAGGAAGAGACCAGCAGCCATGTGCTGTTTGACCTTGAGACCACAGGACATGCCCATGCAGCTGACCAGGTTATCTTCTGGGATATTCTGAAAGAAATAACTAAGCCCTACAGAAGTACCAGCAGAAAATAGAACTGTCTGATAGAGTGTGTGGCTATAGATGGTAACCCTGTTACCAGAAGAAACACATAGCCATTTTCTGAATACACAGTTTGGGTGACAGCAGATGGTGGTTCCAATGTGAAAGCCATGTGTCCTGCAGTAAGAAAGCCCCAGGAACTGCAGTGTCTTGTTCCCATTCACCAGTGATCAAACAGGTTCTCCAGACTTTGAGAAACCAGACTACAGTCATAGCTGCTAGCAGGCCTGGGTGTAAACTTTCAGCATTCTTGGGTGTGTTTGATAAGAGGAAAAAATCTGAGGGGGTGTATGTGTGTGTAACACACACACACACACACTCACTCATCAAACAGTGGCATACATGTGCTAGCAACACTATCTTAAAAGCACTAGGGGAGCATACAACATTCTGCATGAAGAAATCAGCTGCACTGGCTGAAATGGCCTCCATGGAGGCTCTAAAATGGTCCAAAATGAACCAGCAGACTCTGGTCAGAGAAACTCTGGAGCTAGAGGTGGCAGGACGCGCAGAAGGATGACTGATGGAAGGGCACGATGCTTCTGAGCAGAATATGATCAGTCTGAAGACCTGATGGTGTCAAAGGACCTACGGAAGCCTGAGCATGGTTATGGCCAACCCGATCTCCAGCTCTTACGTCTACGAAGCATCACAGACTTCCGTTCCCTGTTGACAGGAGGCCAGATCAGGAAGAACGGGTTGCTTTGTGTCTCACATACTGCCTTTATTTTTGACGCTGTTCTTGTACCATTGTCACACCCAAGGTATATGAACTAAAATCTACAGCTGAGTCTACATTTTTATGAGCCACCCTTTATTTGCACAGAATCTTCATTTGTTAGTACTTTCCTATCGAACTGGGCTAACGAAAGGATTAATTTTGCATAGATATTTAATATAACCCTATAGCTAAATCCAGTTGAAGATAAAGCAATTGGTTTTTTTTTAACCCCTCTACAAAGGGAAAGCACAGGAGAGCACACATTTATTAATATGCAACAAGCATTCTACCTGTTACTGAGTATTTCTTATAGATTAAGATACAAAAAGGCTTAGATTCTTTTCCCCTGAAATTTTAATAACTGGTTTGCAAGCTTATAGGAAAAAGACAATGATTTTTAAAGCATTAAATTGTAATTTCTACATTTTTTTAAAAAATTATGTTTGCACCTAAGGGTTTAATTATTCTGCTATCTAGCTGTTGATTTGCATTATCCCTGTGAGAGACCCGTGGGCTCATTCTCCTCTCTCCTTTACCTAAAAGTTAGTCTTTCCCCTGTAAAATCTGGTCTAAGGTCTCAGGGCTGACCCTCAAGATTTTGCTACATTCTCTCAGGCATGCAGTAGGCAAGAAGGCAACATAGGAATATAAATGACTCTACTCTGAACATTGTGTGACATACATAAATGGAACTAACTCCCGTCATGTTAAAAAATATAAAACTTTACTATTTTTCAATACTTCCAAAAATGTTGCTAGGTTTGTATTTGAAAAAGTCTTTAATTAGCAAGAGTTAGGATTGATTTTATCTAACCTCACCCTTTTTCCCCCCAAAAAGGCATACATGGGTTCACATAGTACACTCTCCCTGGACATTCATTCATTCACCAGGCAACTTGGGTTAAAAGAAAAATAGACCATTCTTATCCATCTAAGAAGATACCTGTATACCAGCTACGTGGGCACTATGAGTTCGGTAAGGATCAGCAAAGACCACGGTAGCAGGAGGGACAGCAGGTACAAATGGGAGACGGAGGCAGGGAATAGTTGGTGTTTTAAATAACCACAGTGCAACTTGCTACCCTTTACAATGCCACATCAAGTAGGCTTCTCTCCCATTCTGCAAGCATGCACCATGAAATTATCTTCACACCACACAGAATATCTGCAATTCAACAGTTAAGTTCCACGGTAGCAAATCCCAGAGTAGCTTTGGGTTCACACTGCATTAATTTTAAATAATCTTGGGATTCTAATCCAAGGAGAGAACTTATAAAAATTAATGGTTTTCTACTGTAGCCTAACAAACCTTAGGATGTGTAATGCCTTGAAAGGATAGAAAAAGAAAGAAAGACTAGGCTAGCTGATACATGTGGCTGTCCCCAGTTTTCAAAACAAATATCAGATGCCAAATGTCTCATCCCCCTTCCCCTCACTGTGATGCTATAGAATGAAGAAAAGCAAATAAATGACTCTTAGCATTTCATTCCCATTTAGATGGGTGCACAGACATTATTTCAATACCAGCTGGTACTTAAACGCTCAGCTAAAAAACCCTCTGACTAACTCCTAACCCTCTAGAATCAGGAGACAGGTTCCTGAACTCCACCAGTGAACAGCTAAGGCATTCAAAAAGGACTCTAATGTACATTCCATGAAGCTTTATTACCTCTTTACCAGGTAAGAATTTACTTTCAATCATTTTCACTTCCTCACTCTCTCAAATCCCTTGCCAAAGTTCTTTTTTCTCCCCATAAACTCATAAACCTGGATTTACCGAGAAGAAGTGCCTTTCAATAATGAATGCAAGAAATGCAATCTTTCTGAGCTCTTTTAAAGAAAAACCATAAGTCACTCTCTTCGCTCCCCTTAATCCTAGGCTCTGTCGAGTTGTGGGCGAGTCCCAGTAGACCATATTTTGTCTTCTTATAGGATTCTGGAGTTCAAAAGAAAATAAGAGTTATCTTTTAGAGATATTACTGAAATAGTTATGGATAATGGTAAGATGTCTGGGATCTGCTTTAAAACAATATGCCAGAGAACACAGAGGAAAGAAAATTGCTCACGATTTGATAATTATTGAACCTAGGTGATGACTACATGGGAGTTAATTCCACGTTTATGCTTTTAATTTTAGAGAATACATTTTTCTAAAAGGGGAGGCATTAAGAGCCCCCACCTGAACCCCGAATTTTAGCCAGCATGTTCAACTTCCTCCTCACACAACAACTGAATGCATGCGCAGGGGACAATGAGCAAAACGGACCTATCTCAGCAAAATTCTACCTCCCTGCTTACCGTTTGTGTATAGAAAGAAAAATAGTAAAATGGAGAGGCAAATTATAGGAAGATGAAAGAAGAGAATGCCAAGGGGTAGAATAATGAACTAG